TGAAATACTGGTCTTAAACTGCATGGTCAATAGAGCTTCAGTTTGCTATCATGAAGTACTGCAGTACTTAACTCTGCAATCAGTGCATTATGGTAGATGAGGCAGTCTTTTATCCTTTAGCATTAGAGAATTAAAGTTGTTATGAAAACAGTTTTGTCTCTCGTTTAAGTTGTTACAACCTATGGTTAAGTAGTGGTAATGCAGACAGTAATGGATTATGGGGAGAAAATGTATCTGACATCGTACTTCTGGGTCTACAAATTTTCTAGCATTTCAACCTAGCATTTGCAGTCATCCTGCTAGGTTGTAAGAGTTGGTGTGTGCTGAGGTACCATCTGTGCACCTAGGTAATGGGAGAAGCTGATTTTCTATCTGGAGTTGCAATTGTTAAATGGAAGAGCATAAGATAGGATGAAATAAGGCTACCTTACTTATTTTAGTGTATATTTATAGTGATGGATTTTTTTCCTGTAAGACAGTCTTAAGACAGATGGTATTTTCCCCAGAAACTTTCTTAGGGGAAGAAAAAATAATTAAAAGGACAATAAAGACTTTCCTCTGTGTTTCTCTATTCTGTGAATCAAACATACTACTTCTAGTAATGAATACAGAAATGTGTGTAGAAGATACTGTGATGGGAATTCAGTTCTCATGAGCTCATTTTTTTTTTTTTAAATACTTCATAATACAATGAAAATTAGATTATTCTGTCTAGTAAAACAATTCTTAAATGTAAGGTTATTTTTCCTACCATCTTGAAAGTATTACCTTGCAGTTAAATTTTTCAGTTGAAGTCTATGGCTGCATAATTATACTAAAATGTAGACCTTAAGCATAGTGATAAGGTCTGCAATATACTTAATATGTGATGTCAGTTGCACTTTTTAAAAATCACATCTTTGTTTATGCTGAATTGTCTGCCCTTACTGTGCACGAATATTGTAAGCAATAACATTAAAATTACTTAAATTACTTGTCCAAAGAGATTGCTTTTTTTCTCTAGTTACTTTTTTCTTCTACACAGGTCAAATAGGGAAGAATGTGGTGACACTCATGCAAACCTTGCTTACAGATCACGCCACAGCTGTCTTGGGTGTAAGAATGAACTGTTATTCACACCAGACTGGTACACAACTAAGTAGTAAGATCATCCTTCTTTATACAGTCTGAGAATGACACAATGTTTAAACATCTATGGGAATTTGAATTAATGCTTTATGAACAGCTGAAGCTTTTATTTCTCAAATTGTTGTAAGCAAGACCACTCACTGTATTTAACAAGATTAGGTGGTAGGGAAAGAGAAAAAGGAGAATGCAGTAATGTTTGTGTCTGCCACATCTTTCACGTTTGAAGTGATCATGAAGTTACTGGTGAATTCGAAGAACTCTGAAATATCCCATCCATTTTGACAGCAGTCATAGAAATAGCCTCTTGTGGAGGTAGAAAACTTGATGTTATTATTTTAAGGCTTTTTTAGTGCTTTAAATGTTCCCTGGCCCATTTGGGGATTTTTGTATGAAGATTAGTTAGCAGAGTTCAGTTAGGTAGGAATTATGAACAGAAATTTTGAGATAAAAAAAAAGTACTAGACTGCATAGCTGAATTTAGAAATTTTAGCTGCCATTTACAAAACTTGTTTTGATTAGTTCCATTCTGCTGCCCTAATGGGAAGTACAAACTTCTGCCTTTCTCAATAAAAGTACTTAAAGTTTGCAGTCTTTCTGAAAGTTTTTGCTATCGACTCCAGTGTTTTAACGTCAAAGGACCAGGTTATGTTGTTGAGATTGGGAATGTATCTGAGCACAGGTATGAATGTTCATGTGTGCTGCACAGGTCCCTTTCTATTAGCCAGCAGGTGGGTTGCTGTTGGCTGGCAGGCTAGCTCACACCTCGCTGCTTGTTCACTCCACAGTAGCAGGTGGGAGGAGAGATTTGGAAGGACAGAAATTGAGAAAGATTTGTGAGTGGAGATCATGATAGTTTAATAAGGAAGATAGGAGTGTGGCTGGTAGGAGTGTGGTTGGTGAATGTGGTGCAGAAGCAATCAGTTGCCACCTCCTGCTAGCAGCCTGGTACCTGAGTCACACTCTGAGCAACGGCTACTTGGAAGAAACTTCCCCTCATGGTTCTATCCCTGACCACAGTGTCATAGGGTAAAGAATGTCCCTTTTGGGTAAACTGGGGTCAGCTGTCCCCTTTCCTAGCATCTTTGCCTAATCCTGTAGAGTGAGGAACAGAGAAATCTTCAATGCTGCAATCGCTGCTTGGCAACAGCAAAACACAGTGTTGGTCACAAACCCAAAACAGTGATGTGCAGGCTGCAATTAGAAAGTTTATTTCATCCCAGTCAGACACCTGTGAGTGGGTTCAGTCATCTCTTCTCTAGGGCTGTGTTGTATTTGGAGGGTAAGGTAAAAGAAGGGAATGATTATTAAACATTGATTTGAGTTCCCAGGTAGTTACTGCAAAAATTGAGCTAACATCAATGTGTGTATATACAAATAGATATGTGTTTACTTGAGAAGCCTTAAAAGTTTTTTTTAAAAGGCAACAATATGAAGCCTCATAATAAATGAGAATATAAGGTTGCATCACCTCTAAAAGCCTGATAGATTGGTGTATCTGTATGTCTTTCCATCGTTTGGCCTAATCTTAAGCTATTTTCTTTCTTTTTTGTTTGATTGGGTTTATCAGTGTCCATGTTTCAGTTTGTTATGCAGAAGTTATTTTAGCACTCCCTCAGAGCTCTTTCTTAAGAAAAATGTCATATACCGTGGCAAGATTATCTACATTAAGCTTTTCAAATCACCATGGTCCTGTAGACTAGGCACTTCACCAGGAAGAAATTGGATGGGAGGATATCCAAGCTATAAATGCCCAAACTCCCCCTGAACATGCCAGCTGTGTGATTTGTCAGCATTTGTGCTCTGCCAGCATTGCTGCCTTAGCACTTCTGTTCCTTGTGCAGAGGAAAGAAGTCATGCCTCTGCCTATCCTACCTACTGACCCCTTAGGAAGAGGGGAACAGAAATGCTACAGAGACAGCAGTGAGCATAGAAACTGTCTTATTTCGGGCGTTTTTAGATGCCTGCTCCCTACTTTGTTGGAGACTCAGGAACAGAAATGCCAAGTACCTATGCTTTCAGAAAATGCGTGATTGATTTGAAAACACCAGGTGGTCAATCTTGGTGCAGTGGTTGCCTGGGCAATTGGTTTTTAGAAGTTGGAATTTCTGAAATGAAATAGGAATTTCTATTTCTGTGATGCTGAAAGCCACTCTCAATCCTTGGTATAGTCTGTTTTTTTCTGCTGTTGTTTTCAGTTTACTGTTTTGGTTATTTTTAGTGTCTACAAATGCATTTCTACAACTGCTGTCAGCAGAGATTCTATGTTTGTGTGCTCCTTAAAGTTTCTGCAAATGATTTCGTTATCATTTCCTCAATTCTGCTATCCATTTTTCTCTGTGGTTTTCTTTGTACATCTGTCTGCAGTAGTTTAAGGAGTCAGCTTATTTATTTTAAAAGTTGAGCAATTTCTGTAATAATTTCCTTGGTAAATTAGGCAACACTAAACTGAAAGGGATATTCACCATGAATACTTGGGGTGCTATCATAATGATTGGTGTGAGGGTTATCTCTTTAGAGAAAAGACATTAATGTAAAACTTTACGACTTGAAATATGCTACCCAGCTTTAAAGCAAATGCAGTGGCATCCTGATTTTGTAAATAAGCTACAGCAATATTCTGTAAGTTTTGATTTAGAAGAAAAAAGCACATAACAGTTCCACATTCATCAGTCTGATTTCAAGCTCAATGAAAGGCAAACCAGAGAATGAAGGATGTTAAAGTCTCTTGCTTTGTTTAAGTTGCATTCTCTGTTCACAGAGGTGGCAGAATACATGCGTTGTGACTGATGTGTCCTTTCCAAACAGGTTGATGTGGTAGAAAGGACTTCGCTGCTTTCAATTACTTTGTGTTTCACAGCAGGCCAAAGAGATTTTGCACAAAGTCTGAGGGAAACCTGTGCTTTAAAACTCAGCAAGTTAGTGACTCCCTCTGCCTCTAGGAAACGAATTATAGCTCTGAAGTTTGTGAATCCCGAGCTCCCCCTTGCTTATGTCACCCTGTCACCCATAGGAAAATATGACCATATTTCTTAGCTTGGAAAAAAAAAAAAAAAAAAAAAAAAAAAATCACACTTTGCGATTCAGTTTGTGTTCAGCTAAAGTTGCAGTTTCACTCTGCACGGAATTGAAACTCTCAAGCTCTTGGCTGAGTGAAAGGCAGTTCCTAACATGAGAAAAATTAAATCAGTCTTAGTCCGAAAGAGGCACAATGTGACAGCTATCAAAGTTTTCAAAGTTTGAAGCTGCAGATTGCCAGAGAGGTTTCCAAAGGCCCTGAGTAGCCATAGACAGTCGTTGGGTTAAGTGGCTGCACACTGTGCCTTAGAAAACTGACGTGCAACTCATGTTAGTGGGCATGAAGCACTTCATGCTTAAAGTCTGTTCCAGTGTAATGCTCCACAGACGCGTCTAGATTCTTGAAATAATCAACTGCAGTTTTGCCCTGCCATTCTCCTATGTACGATGACGCAATTAATTAAGCACGTTTGCTTTACAACAAGGTGAATAGCTACAGGTAAGTTAAAGCTCACTTTCTACTCTGGTTTTCTGTTTTGTTTTGGTTCCCTTTCTGAAAGTCTCATTCACTTAATAGACATTCTTACACTAAGAATTCATCTTAAAGAGACTTATCTGCTTACAGGTCTCGGTTAAAGGCCAGTTCTTAAAGCTGTTAGCAGCAGAAATGAACCTTCAATAATAATAAAAAAATGATTGAACTTTCAAATCTAAAATACTGTTAATGTCAGGCTCGCTTTGTCTCTTTGTGGTCATAGAACTTGCACTTAAAAAAAAGAGGAACTCAAGCTTCTGCAAATCTATATTGCCTGAAGTGAATGCTGCCCTTGCGTAACACATCCTCCTGTCTGATTAACCTCAATTTCTCATTCCAAATATTTGACAATTGCACTCCTTTGGGGTTCCCTGTGGCATCTTGGAGTCTTTATAGATCCTTGAGGTCTAACACTGTGGACAGGTAAACAATGGAGTTTAAAATGAGAAGCATGCTCAGAAGTAGCAGAAAACAGAGAAAGTTTCAGCTTGAGATGAAAAATAAACAACAACAAAAAAACCCTGTTGTTGCAACAGCACGAGGGTTTATGAGCAACACGGGAAAAAATATGAGTACTCAGTTATTTTTATGAGGAGTGGAGGAGTAACGGAGGTAGTGCTGTTTTAATTTTAAAGCCAGATATTTGAGGAAGTGGATTGCAGCAGTTGTTTCATGTTTAATTATTTCTCAAGCTGCAGTTCAGCTGAAGAGAAGAACGATAAAGCAGTGGTTGCTGCTGTTGTCTTGAGTGATTTATGCCACTCCTTTCTACGGGATCTGAACCAGTGAAGACCTCTTTTATGCTGTTTTTTCCTGCTCTGATTTACAGTTTCTTCTCATGACAAATCTTTCAGAGGTGGCAGCACACAGAAAATGGTAGGTGAAACTTTCATTTTAAAGTTGTTAGTGCTCTTGGGTTGGAACTGCTGGGAAAAGTTTTCAAGAGTATATTCTCTATTTCTGCTTTTAAATGTCCAAATTTGCTGGGGTGGCTATAAGTTGCAGTTTTAATAATGATAGGCAATGAGAGTTTTATGCTAATGTACTATGGGAAGAGTAGAGTGAAGTGTTTTCTACTAGCTATAATTCCTGTGTTGCTCATTGCTCTCTGGCCTTTTGCTCTTTCACCTTTTAAAATGCATAAGGAACACTTATAGTCCTGCTGTTTCTGAATATTTGAAGAACACCACAAATCAGATGGAATTCAGTTATGGATTTGTGCATATCTTCAGTTAATATTGGAATAGAAGTATTTCTGAAATTATAAACAAACCATAGATCACAGAGAAAAGGACAACTCTCATGTGTATCTTAGCTGTACTTTTAAACTAATATGTTTAAACTACTTTTCTGAATGCAAGGACTTTGCACAAGTCAGCATTGCCTACTGTTGGAAACCAGCATTAGCTGGGGAGTGGACTCTGATATCCAGAGGTCCCTTCCAACCCCTTTTCTGTGATTGTTTATTTCTTTTGATTTCATCTGTCTTCTTTATTTTTTTCTAGTACAGTATTGGGCACAAAGCGTGTTGCATGTGAACAGTTACACAGCACCAGACTGCAACAATTTGCATGCAAAATAACACATTAGAGGGACATGGAGATGCAAGTTTTGCAGAAAAATGAAATGCAAAGAGAGTAAGAGCTAGGCTTGCTCTGCAAAGACGCCTGGATTCCTAAAAATACAGCAGCAGGTGTGCATTCAAAATCTGAGCATTTTACAAGTCTCTGTAGCCAATTTTTTGACACCACAAGGATCTTTCAAAGATGTTCCTGAAGACTTTGATGTCCCAAATTCATTGCACCTGCCTTCAGGCCTCTAGTAGTGCAGTGCCTCTACACCCAGGCAACTCCCTCTGTAGAGAGGCCCCACCCTCCTCCCCTGCTTACTCCTATATACCAGTGCAGTCCAGGCTGATGGCACTGCATTGAGGAATATGGGTAAGTGCCTAGAATTTAGTCCCCGAGTGTAGGATCTGAGTACAAATGCACAGAGAAAGTTGGTAATGATCTAGGCAGCAATGTCATGTTGTCCAAATCCTGATTTAGAGCTTGGATGGAGGGGTTTAACTTAGCAAACCCCAAAACCTTGATTTTGACTAACTTTTCCTCAACAGCAGCAAACCTGTGGTTTACAGCAGGTTTTCCTTCCTTATTTTAAAATAGCCACTCAACACAGATTCCAGTGGTTGGCAAGGCCATTCTTTTTCCCAGGCTTGCTGTCATGGCATGGATTTAGTTGAATAGCACCAGTAAATAAAATTAAATGCACTGTTACTTAGCATTTTTGCTAGTCATTACATTAATAATTCAGTGTGTTTTCTTGTAAAGAAGAAAGGCAGATTTTTTACAATAACGTACCCAAATGTCTCTTTTTATTGCAAGACAGACCCTCAGTTTTCTGTGTACTGTCCCTTCTTCTCCCTCCCACTTTCTTCTACGTTAATTCAGAAATAAGGAAGTCTTTAAAAAGAAATGTAGGATAGTCAAATGAAACAAATGTATTTTATCTTCTCCATATTAGCTCCCATCTTGCTCTGATAATTCTTATTCATCATTTTCATTCAAGTGCTTGTCTACGTTAGGAAATTAGAGAAGTTAAGCATCCTGTAAAGTTGACTGGTTAGACTGTACTGAAGACACTGGTGAATGATCAGATCCATGTCTTCAGTCTGGGTGAGTTTCTAAAATGAACTAGTGTATACCAAATGAAGATTATTTTGATACAACTAATGATTCACAAGAATTGAAGATAATGAGATATGACTCACTGCTTTGGAACTCATGGGCAGCTTTCCTTGAGTAATTGTAAAAATGTTGGATAATGGCTACCAATCTGGATATTTAACCAAATTTCCATTTTCTGTGGACTCACTGAAGAAAAGAAGATTCTGTAGCCCTTCCTCAGAAAAGGAAAAGAGATCATAGTGGAGGAAAGCCTTCCAGTACTAGGAATATTGTATAATTTTCAAGTCCAAAAATAGAGAACTCAAGATCTGCACTAGACTTTTGCATTTTTCCATCCATACTGAGGCCTTGTATTCAAAAGCTCACTGAATGAATCCCTGAAGTGATTCTATCTTGTTGTTGAATCTAGAGAGCAGAAATGCAGTGCTGTGAGAGATTTGATCTAGCTTCACTTCCATTTGCTGCCTCGCTAGTCAGTAGAGCTCTCTTCTAGATACATAGATGAACAGGAGATTTAGCATTGTTATCTGAAATAACAAAGAAACACTTTCATACTGAAAGGATACACTATTGTATGTAAACAGAGTATAAAACAGGAAGTTCCAGTTAATCTATGTCATATACAAAACATGTTTAAGGAAACTCTCAGTAGTTTTTTCCCATACTGTCTATGCAGTGAGCAGGTCCTTGTATGTATTGAATTACTATAACACTTTTAAGAGACATACTCAATTTTAAATACCTTTTATTTTTATATTTAGACCTACAGGAAGTCCTGGGTCCCCCTGGACTCTCTCTCCTTATTGGACAGTGAAAATGTAAGCTGCTATTAAATATTGAAGCACATTCATTGGCTGGTTTTGGTCAACCCTGCATCTGTTCTGGCTCATAACAAATGAAGAATGCTTGCATGAAATTTGAATTAGGCATGCAGCTGTTTGTGTGTTTTTGAAATTTTATACTAGATTTTAACTAGCTATTTTTTCTTTGTTTCAATTCCTTCTGAAAATTTACTTTGCTTGTTTATGTATATTAGACAGCTGCATTCTGCTAGCTGTCTAACACTGCTTACCCTTAAATAAAGAAAATTCACAGAAACAGACCTAACTACATACCGTGTCTTTTTTTTTTTTAGCAGATTCCTTAATTTCTTTATGATTCACTATTTAGAGAGTAATATTTGTCTAATCAGTGCAATATTTAATTATAATAGAGAAAAAAAGAGCATTTGAGGAAATGTCAATACATGCCTTCCCCCAGACTTAGAATCCTTCCTACACATCCATTTCTGGACAGCGTGAGACAAGATGCTAGGTTAGCCATGTGTTTGGTTTGCCCCAATACATGTCCTATGACATTTGTTGCCATTGCATTTGATTAACACCTCCCTACTTCCTTATTTTTAGGTACGTCATGCAAAGATGTCAAATGCACTGCTGATTATCTTGCTCTTCTTATTTCCAATGCTGCTATCAGGACATTGGTTTCCCAAAACTTTACCCTGTGATGTGGAAGCCTTTGAAGGTACTGTGAGAGTAGACTGCAGCGATCGTCACCTCACGGAAGTCCCCAGAGGGATCCCTGGAAATGCTACTAACCTGACCCTGACTATTAACCATATCCCCCATATCTCTCCAGCATCCTTTATTCAGCTAGAAAACCTTGTGGAGATTGACTTCAGATGCAACTGCGTGCCTGCCAGACTGGGGCCCAAAGATAGCGTGTGCAGCACACCACCATCAATTGAGAATGGCAGTTTTGCTGCTCTGAAAAGACTGAAGTCATTGTATTTGGATGCAAACCAACTGTCAGAAATACCCCAGGGTCTTCCTGCTACTTTACGACTGCTGAGTCTGGAAGCAAACAGATTTTTTTCTATTAAAAAAAACACTTTTTCAGAGCTCAGAAATATAGAATTATTGTATCTGGGACAGAATTGTTACTACCGTAATCCATGCAATGTTTCTTTTGAAATTGAAAAAACAGCCTTTCTGAATCTGAAAAATTTGACAGTACTGTCCCTGAAGTCTAACAACTTAACTTTTATTCCACCCAACTTGTCTTCAACTTTAAAGGAATTGTATATTTACAATAACAGAATTCAAGAGGTTCAGGAACATGATTTAAGTACCCTTCACAACCTAGAAATTCTTGATCTCAGTGGCAATTGCCCACGTTGCTATAACGCCCCATATCCTTGTACTCCCTGCCCTAATATCTCAATTAAGATTCATTCAAAGGCTTTTTATTCCTTGAAAAAATTAAGAATTTTGAGACTTCACAGTAACTCTCTTCGGAGTATACCAAGCAGCTGGTTTAAAAACATCAAGAATCTCAAAGATCTTGACCTCTCCCAAAACTTCCTCATAAAGGAGATTGGAGACGCTCAGTTTTTGAAGCTTATCCCCAGTCTTGTAGAGCTGGATCTGTCCTTTAATTTTGAATTGCAGATGTATTCTCCATCCTTGAATCTGTCTAAGACGTTTTCCTCCCTTTCTAACCTGGAAACCCTAAGAATCAAGGGTTATGTCTTTAAAGAACTGAGAGAAAGAAATCTAGATCCATTACTCAGTCTTAGAAATCTGACAGTGTTGGATCTTGGCACTAATTTTATTAAAATTGCTGACCTAAGAGTGTTCAAGAAATTCCAAGCTCTCAAAATCATAGATCTCTCAGTGAATAAAATTTCTCCTTCTTCAGGTGAAAGTAACTTTTATGGATTTTGCTCTGACCCCACAATTACAGTAGAGCAGTACAGCAGGCAAGTTTTACAAGAGATGCATTACTTTAGGTATGATGAGTATGGTCGAAGTTGCAAGTCCAAAGACAAAGAGGCTGATTCCTACCAACCTTCAGTCAATGGAGATTGCATGAGTTATGGAAAAACTCTCGATTTAAGCAGAAACAATATATTTTTTGTTAACTCTGTAGACTTCCAGGATCTCAGTTTCCTCAAATGCCTCAACTTGTCAGGTAATGCCATAAGTCAAACTTTAAATGGAAGCGAATTCTACTACCTGTCTGGATTGAAATATCTGGATTTTTCTAACAACAGGATTGATTTGCTATATTCAACTGCTTTCAATGAGCTGAAATTTTTAGAAATTCTAGATCTGAGCAATAACAAACATTACTTTCTGGCAGAAGGTGTTAGTCACGTGCTTAGTTTTATGAAAAATTTGGCCTACCTGAAGAAGCTGATGATGAATGAGAATGAGATTTCTACTTCTATTAGCATGGGGATGGAAAGTCAATCTCTTCAAACTTTAGAATTTAGAGGAAATCGTTTAGATATTTTTTGGGCAGATGGGAAGACCGAATATCTGTCATTCTTCAAGAATCTGACCAAACTGGAACAACTGGATATTTCCTCTAACATGCTCAGCTTCTTACCTCCTGATGTTTTTTCAGCTATGCCTCCAGAACTCAAGATACTAAACTTAACCAGTAACCGGTTGAAGACATTCAATTGGGGAAATCTCTACTTGTTGACCAAGCTAGTAACTCTGGACCTCAGCAATAACCTTCTGACTACTGTTCCCCGAAAGCTATCCAATTGCACTTCAACTCTCCAAGAACTGATACTCCGAAACAACCGTATTACACGGATAACCAAATATTTTCTCAGAGGTGCCATTACATTGTCATACTTGGACCTCAGTTCAAACAAGATCCAAATAATTAAGAGATCTAGCTTCCCTGAAAATATCATAAACAACCTGAAGGTGCTGCTTTTGCACAACAATCCTTTCAAGTGCAATTGTGATGCAGTGTGGTTTGTTGGGTGGATCAATCAGACTCACGTGACAATTCCTCTTCTGGCCACAGATGTGACCTGTGCTGGCCCAGGGGCACACAAAGGAAGGAGCTTGGTTTTCCTGGATCTGAATACCTGTGAGCTGGACACATCCTATTTGATCATGTATGCTTTATCAACTTCAGCTGTCCTAAGTTTAATAATGTTTGCAGTTATGAGTCACCTCTATTTCTGGGATGTTTGGTATAGCTATCATTACTGCACTGCCAAGTTGAAAGGCTATAGACGTTTACCTTCACCAGACACCTGCTATGATGCTTTTATTGCCTATGACAATACTGATCTGGCTGTGAATGAATGGGTGATGACAGAATTGGTTGAAAAGCTGGAAGATCAAAAAGCCAGGCAGTTCAATTTATGCTTGGAAGAAAGAGACTGGCTTCCAGGACAGCCAGTCTTTGACAACCTTTCCCAGAGTATTCAACTGAGCAAAAAGACCATATTTGTGCTGACCAACAAGTATATTAAGAGTGGCACTTTCAAGACAACATTTTACATGGCCCACCAACGACTTCTAGATGAAAAAATTGATGTGATTATCTTGATATTTCTTGAGAAAGTATTACAGAAGTCCCGATATGTTCAGCTGAGGAAGAGGCTGTGCAGAAGTTCTGTTCTGGAATGGCCAACTAACCCTCGATCTCAGCCCTACTTCTGGCAGTGTCTGAAAAATGCCATAGCTATGAACAACACTCTGGCTTACAACAAACTTCTCCAGGAAACTGTTTAGCTTTACTGCTCCCTGTAAAATACTGTTACTATGTGTGGTGAGGAAAAGATGCTGAACTTGCTATGGAGAAAATGTGAAAGTGGAGAGAATAAATATAATTGTGATATGATACCCAAAAATGAAACGCACAATCTGTCCCAAAGATAATAATTGCATTGTTTTGCTATGACGACATTAAATATAAACTGATGCCAGCACAGATGATTAACTGTTGCACACCTCATTCAGCATTTGCAGCAAGAGAAGATGCAACAGAGTCACCACTCCCAGTTTCAGTTCGCTGGAGAACATCTGACATCACCTGGCTGGGTCAAATGTAAGTGAGACAATTGATCAGCTCAATCTAGTTCCCAAGCTGCCAGGAGGAGTTCAGTTATGCTTGAGGTTGCTGCTGTTTGGATCACTGTTGGAGTAAATGTAATTTAATTGAAAAATATTGTTAATGCATTTGTGTGTATTTATGAAAATAGGAAAAAACACAACATGTTAATTTCAGAAAATACTTTAAGTGAATTTCATGTTTAGGAGTTGGGGAAATGTATGCATGATTAACTTTGCAACTCATGGATGCTGAGCCTACCAATTCTGCTTGAGGGGGCAACAGCTCTAGCCACTGGGGAGATGATATGCTGGTGGGACTTAGGGCAGAAGCTTGGATGTAGTATGGGAGATCTCCCATCTCCCACTGCTGCATTGTCACAAAGGTGGTAAATTGGAAAAGATTTTGAAGAACTTGCATGTACCAAAATGGGAAAGTGTGAGAGAAGAGAAACAAGTCAGAAGAGCTTGCAAGCTGTGGATCAGGAGGAATTACAAGGTAAAGGGAATCTTTGCATGGAGCTGGCACATGGGAGTAAAAAAGGAAGGAAGGACAGCAAGCAGATAGGCTGAGAGGGAAGCAAAAAAAAAAAAAAAGAAAAAAAAAAAAAGAAAGGAAGAAAGCAAAGGAAAAGAGAGAAGAGAAAGAAAAGAAGGTAGGAAAAAAGAAGTTGAGAGAGATGGAAAGAATAGCAAAAAACAATGGCTACATTATGGTGTAATAGAAATCCTTTGATTTACTGGTAGTTTCCAAACGATATGTTCATTTTGCATTTCACTGGTTTTCTTGATTGCTTTCTGAGCTATCTGCTTCCTGAAGTCTCAAACTTTCTCTCCAGTCTTGTGAGTCAGCTGTAGAAGCGCAACTTCCCTGTTTCCATCAAGGCCCTCAGTGTTTATGAACTGGAACCATGTCTAGCCAGTGCTGGAACATGGGACCATGCCAAAATGACTGATTCATTTGCCTCTGGCTGCCCAGACTTTCTCCAGAACAAAACACAATCAAAGTACAAAACATGTAAGACCAAGTTGTAAAAGGATAGCACCCACCTGATTGTTTCATTAGCCATATTGTTGTTGCTCCAGAGCATCTTCAAACTTCCTTTGCCTCCTTGTTCTCCCAGCAGGTCTATTTCCCACAGCAGCTGTTGAAAGTGTGACTGGGAATGGGCTTGACTTTAGACACATTCTAAAGAGGAAAAGAAACACCATTCAGAAAAATAAATACTTGAGCCTGCTCCCTGCTTTAGTTCATAGCGCATCCTCATACAAACACATGGAAGTAATTCAGCTGGAGATTTTTCAATGACAATATAAACTTACGTGTGTTACACCTTGCACTTCTGTCTACAGTACAGTTTGGACAGCTTCTCTCATCTCTCTCAAAGCCTCACTACTGCTTAGAACCTACTTAGCTGCTTCCTGCACTTATTCACCTATATTTCTGCCCAGACCTTTCCTCAAACAACTCCTTTTTGATTTAGTTCTAGGCAACCAGGCAAACAAGAATGCAAACACAAAAAAAAAATCAAAACAAAAAAACACACTTCACATAATGTTACAGAAAATAAGAGAGTTATTTTTCTCCCAGTTTGTCACAACAGTTTTATTGATGAATATCTGAAGCCTGAGAAAGAGGAGGGCCTAGTTAGCAGAGTGGGTGTTTATGGTTATATTTTAAGTAATACCTTGTAAGGATTGTATCTGTAATTCTAAACAATCTGTGTCTGCAAATAGAATAACGTGAGATCTAATGCAACTCTCTTCATAAGGGAATGCTAAATTAAGAACCTCTGTCCCTCGGTTACTGCCTCCCTTTCTCCCCAAAGCACTTCTGTCCAGAGCAGTTTTCTCTTTTTCAGCCTGAGTGGATAGTGCCAGGGCATAAAATTGCTTGGCATACCTGAGGTTGAGCGAAGTATTTTCTACTCTTTTACTGAGAAGTGACCAAAGGATGGGTATGCAATGAGTGGCAATGGGTATATATACAAAATTCTGACCTTGTGGTGTGGCAAGGGACTTACTCATGCTGTAGTGCAAGACCACAGACAGGCCAAGGATGCTGCATGAACCCTTTTGGGAGTATATGAGAGAGATGTTGAACTGTGCTGTGATTTGAAGTGGAAATCAAGTGATCTACTGACATGGTACTGCTCAATGTTAGGGCTAGTGCTCTCAGACATATCCTTCATTACAGAGAATAGAGCCCACTGCCACTTTCACGTGGCAAAACACTTTGGAATATCTGTGCTTTTCTCCTGCAAATAAACACTTAGGCAGGGGAATAAGGAGAGAATGAAAAAGACTGAAACACCAACTTCTTTCTCTCTTTCTATTTTAAGCTAAAATGATAATTTCTGCGTCCCTCATTCTATTTCTGTGTTCTGTGGCACTTTGGAGAGGATGTATTATGGCCTCAAGTTGCTCCAGGGTAAGTTTAGGTTGAATATCAGGAAAAACTTCTTTACAGAAAGGGTTGTTAAGCACTGGAATAGGCTCCCCAGGGAGGTGGATGAGTCACCATCGCTGGATGTGTTTAAAAACCGTTTGGATGTGGTGCTCAGGGACATGATTTAGCAGAGGGTTGTTACAGTTAGAGTCGTATGGTTAGGTCGTGGTTGGACTCAATGATCTTTAATGTCTTTTCCAACCTGATTGGTTCTATGATTCTAATTAGCTGAAACAGGCCTACATCCTTCTCTTAAAATGCTTCAGGATATATTCAGAGAAGGCCGCCTATTGTCCAGGACTTTGCATGTTTTTCAGGCTAAAGATTACTCAGAGGACAACTGAGTTTGTTCTAATATTTCTTTGTTTTATTGTTGTTTGATTGATTGATTGATTGTTGGTTTTTGAAGTCATTTCATAAATCACAGAATCACAGAATCACAGAA